ACGTCATATCACAAGTTCATTTCTAATCAACTACAACAGCTACTTTACTTTAACTTCTTTATTAGCCAATCAATCATATATTCAGTGTTGCAGGACTCGTCACCCAGGTAACCCAGAAAATGGAGGAGAAGCTTCAAATATCTCATAAAAGGGTCACATTTTCACTCACAACCATGACTTTTTCACTTTTCTTGGCACCTAAACTCATGGAAACTTTGTGTCTCTTTCAAACTAAATATATTTTCTACAACATCTTGGCCAAATCTTTCGAGAAGATATGTTTCTTTCAAAAAAAAACAAAAACAAAGACATGAGAATGCAGCGAAGTTGTAGAGGAATGTAAATTATTGAGAGACAGAGCTGCATCTGGAACATCTGCATGAAAACAACTCAAGAGACTGGTGTGGGATGTGCTGTTTCAGCTACTGATTAGACCTGGAACGCAATCAAGAAAGTCCAGTTTGAGTAACACATCAGCAGGTTTGAAAATTTCAGCCTGGAAAAAGTTGAGTCAGGTTCAACTTTTTTTTTTTTAACTCCACAACTCTTTTTTTTTTTTTGGCATGATCCCTGTGCTTTGCTCCTCCTCATTGAAATGCACAGTGAGACTGCTGAAGTCGCTCCGAATGCGACCTCCAGCTTCGGCATTTAACCCTTCACTGGTCAACTCTAATCCCTCTGGCTCGTATCCTGTCCTCCACAGACCTGATGCATCATCTAAGCACAGGTTTCTATGCTGTGGTTTCATGTAGAGCCATCTCATTCTTCATTTGTCTTCTTACCCACAGCTCATTTTACCATATTGACTATTTAATCCCCTGCTCAGGTGACATGGAGAAAGTGCATCAAAGTAAATGCATGTGTTTTTTAGGTGCAGAATGAGACTGTGGTATGATCGTGCCAAATACTGTAGAGAGGCGGAATGCCTGCTGGATCAACCAGTAAATGTTCATCAGCTGCAGCGTCTCTTTGCTTCCCTCCCCTCCCCAACCCATTATTTCCAATAGGCCTTCTGGAACAATCCTCTGACTGTGAACAAAACACTGAAACAGATTGCTACTCCACTGGCAAATATCACCTCTGCACCCTGCATACGTGCACTGATGCCGACGTGATGTAAAACGGAAGGAAAAAACTGAACTGCATTCACTAGTTTAGCTTTGATAATCACGGATGCGTTTCTGTAGTCCTGCAGGAAACATAAAGGCCAGATTGTATCCTCGGCATATTTTGCCTGACACCAGAGTTCAGCTGCTTATGCATATCTAAAAAGCCGTGTTTTACTGCATATAGGGAGTATTTTCAGATATTCAAATGCCATCCTGTGTCTGTCATGTGGCGGAGCCGCTGTGACGTCTCTCAGACAAGGGTGAACTTACACACACACACACAAAGACACACTTGCGTCCCTTCTGTTCAGCTGTGAATAGGCTTTTAGCGAAAGTGATGGCCAAGGCACATGCTTGAACAAGCATCCCCACTCAGGAACTTCTATTCCTATCATTTCATGTCACAATACTCAATGGCTCTCTTTGTTGTCAGAGGAGTTATTAGCTCAACAAATTAACATGACGGCTCTGGCAGACCTGGCTGGAGGGAAACAAAAAAGAAAAAAAAAAAATGCAAAGGCAGTGGAAAGCAGTGGAGATGAGAGAAGACCCAGAGTGAGAGCGAGGGAAAGGATGGGGATTTCAGAGGAAACAAAGTAGAGCAGGAAGAGGAGCAGGAGATGAATGAAGTCCTGATTGAACTAAAGGGTTTTTCTTATTTAGAGCTGCACAGTTGGGAAAAAAGTACTGTATGGGCCTCATCTGCTGTACAATTACCGAAGATGCTCAGTCACATGCTATGCCAAATGGAAAGAAGCCCAGAAATCATGTAACTATGACAGCAACTACCTCATTATGGAGGATATTCACTGTAATTAATGATTGCAAACCAAAGAGGAAAAGCAATTTAGGAATTATTGATGGTGACATAAAAATGTGGGATCAGTCGTAAAAGGTTAACAAATTCTTTATGTGGACACAGGAAACCCAAGGAAGGCATCTTTTTGGAGTTAACGGGGGAATGTTTGGATTGACGCAAACAAACACAAAACAGTAAAGTTCAATTTTGCTCTCAGCGGCCTTTGAACATCCCCACAGTGACTCATCCTCACAGTCTTGTGCTTTTCCTTCGCATGTCTTGGGAACAGAAGCATGCACATATGACCCATGGTTTGCCTCTGAGCAGAATAGCCATGAGTCAACGAAAAGCAGGGGGGAAATTATCTGACTCTCTGTTATTGCTCTGCCATTAGCTGACAAGTTGTTGATTCCAAAAGAGTGCAAAAACACCCTCCGCTGGCACAGCATTAGCAGTCATGGGTCTTTCCTCCCCTCAGACTCAGGATGCGGGGTCACGGCGCATACAGTTCACCACGCGAGTCTGTGACACTGATCAGCGCTGATGTGTAATCAGACACTTTCCAGACATCCTAGCTCGGATGAGAGCAGGAATGCACAGCATCAAGGAGCGCAAGACGGGCCAACACCTTGGAGACAGCGTGTTTGGGGATCATCAGAGGACACGATCGATCAGATTTTCACTTGAAATCTTCACTCATAGCCACAAAACTGTTTTAATGCCTGCAAACGTACAGTAGCAAACTATGAGATGAGCCACAAGACTAAAAATATGCGTTTAATTAAAGACACAGTCGTAACTGTCAGCTGTGATTATCTCTCCTTTCCTTGATTTACTCAAAGACTGTAACCTTTGGATCTGGTTTGCGTTCAACCTTGATGAACTTTTCCACGAAGACCACCACGCTGAATTCAAAACACTCCAACGAGAAGGTTCATGACTTTCCATAAGGGAAAACAGTCCTTTTCTGCCATCAAAGATCCGAGAAGAACAGATACACCGTTCACAGTCGTGTCCATAATTCGCTGGATCTGATTAGCTGGATCTCCTGTCGTAAATGTTAAGCACATAATTAAATTGTATCCTTGAAACTTAAGAAAAAAAAAAAGGGCTAATTTCCGCACTGTTCTAAGCTGTTTTTCCAAGTGTGTCCTGATCGGTGCCAACAAGTTCAGAGGAAAATTTTTAAAAAGGAATCTTTGTTTATGTTTGACATTTTTGCTCTCTATAGCTGGAGGGCTTCAATCTGCAGCAATAAACTTACTAGGCTAAAATAAGTATGATCATCACATGCAAGAGGGAAAATTTATCATCTTCAGGCCAGCGCTTTCTTCTCTAAATTATCAGCAGAACTGAAACCACAATTTTCTCCACCGTGTTTAGTTATCAAAGGGGCCAAACACCAGCAACTTGACGAGACATTTGTGGAGAATGACTTGCTCTCTCCCTCAAAACTGAGTTCAATGGACTGAAGCCACGTTATCCTCCCACAGCCTTCGCCCGGGCCAATGCGCTGTTAAATCGTTCGGGGGCAAGGACGGAGGAGAATCTCTCTGAAAAACATGCGGCCCCTCGGTGAGGTGAAGGCTGCCATAAAATCAAATCAGACATAAGTTATGCAACTGAATGACATCTTAACTTCACGGCGCCACACACACAAAATCAGCTCCACGATATCCTGTTTATTTTGGGCTGGACTTGCTTCATGCACACAGTTAATCCATTTTTTTCTGTTTTCAAAGCATTTTTTTCACACGAAACACAGCAAATCACAGCCCAGCAGTGTGATATCCATTCCTCTGATACAACAAAAGGAGACCTTTACAGCAGCTAACAAGTCTCCAAATTAATCTCCCGCTGCACACAACAGTCTATACTATTATTTTTTTTTCCTCCTAAAAGGGCCATAGAGAATATTTGAATATTAAATGGAAGCTTTTGCAAAGTGGACAATGCACAAGGGTTGATTGCCACGCAGAGTAATATCCTCTATGAGACAGAGAATGAGGGTCTGTGGGGAATTAGTTCACAGGGCATCCGCTATGAAACTTGCAATTCAGTGAACTTCTCTCTCTACATTAAGAGCCACTGAAGTCGCACAAAGGAGCAGCTCCAAATTAGGAGCACAAAGGCGCTTCTGTGAGAGCTTCAGAGCGAATTAATGAGCATTGATACACATTCTCACAGTGTTCTTCCCCTGGCCTCAGCTGCACCGTGGCAAACAAGACAAGCTATTAAATACTGCCCAAACTCAATTTAATAGCTCAAAAAAAATGATTATAAAATCAATTAATGCCATTTTACAGTTTAAAATCCAGTCCAGTGCAGGATGAGAGAAGTTTTTTTTTTCCTATGTGTGCCAACTCATCTGGTTCACAGGATTTGAGTCAAGTTAGTGAGAAGTTACTAAACATCCATGGCATGAGCACCTCATTCCTCCTGCAAATCCCCCACCCCCAAGGTTTTTGGAGCACAGATGGCCAACACTTGGGACTGATTTAAAGATGGGACAGTCTGAACAACTCAGCCCTTCAGATAAAAATTACGAGCTCTGGCATGAGCTCCAGCCACGCTGACAAATGCTGCTTCTAGTAACTGTGAATCATTCTTTACCAGCAATGACAACCTTTCACCTGCACGACAATCAAAATCAAACAATGCAACGTGATCAATCAGTGCTGATTAATACTGATCAATAAGGGTTGATAATGAAGGGCGTGGTCAATTGAAAACAGGTTTTGATCGAGTCCCTCTGAGAGCTGTGGAGGCAGCAAGTTGATCTGGACTTAACACCTCCACAGACTCGCACAGAGTTGACTGCAGGAATCCTGATAATCTCTCTAATCGCTTTCCTCAGGTTGCTTCAGCAGTCTGCTCTAATGCCGACTCTCATGAAACCGGGTCAGGTAAACAGTCTGCAAAAAACTCCCTCGTAGCACAAAACAAAAGTTCACTCCTGCTCAGTTTACTTTGAAAACAAGCGGCGCGCCCCGAAAGTTGGAGCGCAGTACGGAGCCGTGCTGTCAGCGCGCACGAAGCGACACTTAAATCCGTCTTACAGGCTACAGGAACGTCTTGTTGGTTGAACTTACCCATTTTCTTTTCTTGCAACTTTCCCCCTAAAGCGTCCGAAGTTTGGCGATCGGCTGAAAGTTGAGCCCCAGCTACACTGATGTTGCGTCCTGGGATGCACACTGGCCGCCTGGCTGCTCCGACACTCAACGCTGCGTCCCTGTGGAGACGGCCGAGCTGACGTCACCACAGAGGGGGATTATACTGATGGGAGGACGGAGTTCTCTCAGCTCTTCCTCCCCCCCACCCACCAACACCTCCTCCTCCACCTCCTCAGCCCTCATCAAGAAAGTTTTTCAGGTTATTTTTCGTGAGCAGCATTATCTTATTCCTGCAGTCCCGTGCGTAAAGACGCGCTGGGACTATCTTACCCATTGTTATGAGGTTGATAGAATACTCTTCGATCAGACTTGTGGATAAAGTGCTATCAGGTCAGCTGAGTCAAACTGACAACAGACTGATGAGACACATTGTCACAAGTCAGGGATCATTATATGAGCTCTGCAGAGTCAGGAGTCCTTTTGGCACCAGTTTGTGCCGGTCACGTTTTAAAATTATTACTGTTAATCATTTGTTGTTCAGAAAATCTATGAAAACCTCTAAGGTTGTTGAACCAACTGTTTTTATGAAGGTATTTTTCAGAGTCTTGATCCCTACTACAAAAACCCATGCATTGAATAATACAGATTTTCAGCCTGTCTCCCAAATTGTGCCAGATTTTGCGATTTCTATTTGTGTTTTTACATGTAATTGTCGTGAATGGGGTGAAAAAAGTGGGAATAAGTCCAAAAAGGACAAAAGAAATCCACCCCAATGCCAAAACCTCCTCCACTCACCTCAACATTTCCACTAAAGGGTAAGACAAACTTATTTAAATACATGTATGCGCCACAAACCTGAATGAATCATTACACCCACAGTTATCTACACCCGTACATGCATACATCTGCGTCTTTAGATTTCCCGTGTCTGCAGAAAAGAAACCCCAAAGTAGCTCTTTTCTGCAACCGCATTTGCTTGGGTGTATGAGCTTTGTGATTTTAAAGATATCTCTCATGCTTGACTTTGCTTCTGTGCGCCGGGATAAATGGCAGCCTCTCAAAAAGATGGGGCCTTTAAAGAAACAATACCAATCACCATCAATCCAACGCGCTGGTATCCGGTATCCAAGGAGGTCTGAGCACCCCCTAATCCAATCCAGTCTTTTCATTGGTGGCCAAGTGGGCAGTTCTCAAAGGCTTGTTTCATGGTCAAACAGGGCATCTTCCCAACATGGCGAACACAAAAAGTGTCTGAAAGGCAAATATTTAACTGGTCAACTTCAGAGCTGCAAAGACAATATCATCCTTTTTTTTTTAAGTATATGTATATATTTATTTTCAGTTCACTTTGCACATGTAGTCATTTTTTTTATGTTTGTTTTCTGTGTCACATTTGGGATGGGTCCAGAGTTTTTTTTCTCTCCAGTGTTTTCATTTCTTAACATTTGTGTCCCTTCAACCTGTAAATCCGCTTCAATAGATGCTCATTTCTGCTTAACATGGCAACCATCACACAGATAATATGCTTATTTTTAACACATTTCGTCCAACCTTAAAGTCTACTTCCTTCATGTCTGATAAACCATATACAGGTATACAATGAGACACAATATATTTGGCTGATGTAGCATGAGAATCTGCATTATCATAAACCTAAAGCGCCACGATCGCTCTGTGTGTGCTTTTCCTTTTCTGTTTGTGTACATGAGCTGCATGTCAGTGTGTGTGCGAATAAAAGATCTGCATGGGAACGTTCCAGCACTGTGCTGGCTGTTACAGCAGGCACAGCAGCTGGCAGACAGCAGGCATGCAACTGCCATTAGGATGGACCACAGCAAAACAAAACACATCACACAAAGCCTTTTCATCTGACATTACACCGTACATATGGTCATGTCACTTACAGAGCAATACGTCCAGGACATGACATTTTACTTTATGGGTGGGTCCTTCAAAAAGAATGAACAGTTTTCTTTCTTTTTTTTCTCACAATTAATCTTTATTACCTCAACAACATTTCTGTCTAGTATAACAGATTAATAGATGACATACAAACACTGCAAATTTCCATTTAAATTACACTCTGGAAATATGTTGTGCCAAAAAAAAAAAGGGGGGCAGGTTTTGTTGTCCACTTCTGCATGAGCCCAAAGCTGTTTGAGATCTATCAGCCGGCTGGTTTATTGAGTGTCTGATTGATGCAAACTAATATCTCCACCAGAGAGGCAATATAGGGAATTATAGCAGAAGACGGCGCATTTCTTGAAGCAATTTTCTCTGTTCTAATTTATGTTATGTTCCTAATTAAGAATAAGCACAGTGAAACAGGGATGATGGCAGGCAGCGGAGGCAAATTGAGGTAATCCTGCAGCGTCTAATTGCAAATAAAGAAAAGCTGCCGAAGCGCTGTAGCAAACACAACAGCCACCATGGTTACAAACCACTGAGAAAATGGCAGACACTGTGAATGGGCTCAAAATGAGAGGCAGTTTAAAGCGTACTGGGAGCGAAGTTGGCATCGGCTCCAATGTTACATGACTTGGTTGGACAATTCTGGCCTGCAAGGCGTTCCTTAATGTGTCGGGTCATTATGAGCAGAACTTGAATGACAAAACTTCCTCCTTATATAGGTCATCGAATAGGAGTTTTATAAAAATCCAAAAGATTACAAAGAATCCCTTCTTTTGGGAAAAAATGGAATGTTTGCTAAAGATAATTTAATTGATTGCTTCATTTTTTCCCCCCAAATACCTTTTTTTAGGGTAAACAGATGTTAAGAAAAAGGGCTGCAAACATCCAGGCACACATTTCTGGAAAAAAAAAAAAAAGGCTCAGTGAGGTTAGTGCAGACAAACTTGTTCCAGCTCAAATGTTTTGTGGCCTAATCTGTAGGCACTCATTATATATATGGACACATTTGACTGTTTTCCCAGAAAAGCCTTGGTTCAGCAAACAGATAAAATTTCATAAGTATTTCGACAGTTCCGCTTTTTTTTTTTCTTCTTTTTCTATCCTGCAGGCTCCGTTCTTCAGCACATTCAATTTAAAATGAAATAATGGATACTACAAAGTGCCAACTCTCAGCTTCAATTTTGAGTTGAAAGAACTGCACATGAGATATAGCCCCTTTTAAAAGAAAAAAAAACCACACAGCGACCAAATAGCAGGGATTGAAAAGTAACTGGACGTTATTAAATGTATCTTTGTGTTATTTTAATGCTTGCTCATGCGCGGCAGAGCATAAAGAGTGTACGTCCACTTGCTAAAAAACAAGAAAGGAGGGACTGGCGACAAGAAAGAGCTGTTTGGGAGAGCATTAGTGAAGTGTTTGATGATGTTTATGGCTTGATGCCTTCAGGTAGTTAATAATTTTACATGATTTTTAAGAAAATATGATGAATTAGTCCAACTTATTGTACCATATATATGTCAAGTACATTTAAAACCTTAAACTTTGGGCACCATGTGGTAAAAGAGTTACATCTCCAACCCAGTTCTTCCTATACTGGTGCTGAAATTAAACTTAAAACTTTAAAATAGCCCTGATATTATTGCTTCATTTGAATATATGGAAGCATAGAGATGGAAGAAAGCAATGTACAACTGTCCAAATACTTACAATCTGTACTGTGCATCTCTATTTTATCCTTGTTTCCGACAGATTGGGCCATTTTATTGCATATAATAAACTATGATGCAGCTCTGTTAAAGAAATCATTTCAGTTTTCACTGTGCAAAAAGCTCCATATCTCCATGCACATATTATGTAACGTGGAATTGTTGACTTTCATGCTTTAAGATAAACTCAAGCTTTAGCTGCTCTGCTGAGATATTCAAAAAATCTCCTTAAAGCCCAGCGAATAATGTAAGTGTTGGCACATTGTGCACTCGAACAAAAGGAAACAGCTTAATAGAAAGTGAGGGAGAATGTAAATCACCACAAAACCGTTTTGCATTTATATGTAAAATTAAATCCCTTTGAACACCAAGAACACGACTGTTCCCGTGACTTTGACCCAGTGAACAACATGTGAGGTTTAGTGTGGAGTCAACATCTGGTTTAGTATTTGAAAAGAAGTGGAAAAATAATGCTCCATTGCCATCTCAAGGAAAATACAGAAGAAGTATGTTGTTTACCTTTGCTGACAAGAAAAAAAAAGGCTTTCTAAAGAGTTTAATCTATTTCACTTGCCTATAAAACCAAATCCTGCTTGTGAGTTGAAAACGAATGCCACTTGTTGGACAAAGAATGTTTGCTTTAGAATCTTTCCAAACTCATCTCCAACCTGACTGGGTAATTCTGATTACATCTCAATGGAGTTTAACTAAATAAATGTCACATCTTGGAAGGGTTTCGGTGGGTATATCGGTCTCTGCTGGAGGTTCTGCAAACACACCGGGTGCTTATGAGTCAGAACAGACAGTTGGAAAGTGGCGGTGACCGACTCCAGCAGGTCGAGGGGAGTGATGAACATGTAAGCAGCGCTGAGCTCATGTAATTTATCGCCCCCGAGGCTCCGGGAGAGAGGGCAGTCGCAAAAACAGCTCCACTCACAGCTGGGAACTGGGCAGAAAAGTTAAATCCAAGCTAGTTATCTCCTCAAGCCCATGTGTGAGAAGAGAGGATTTAAAAAAAGAAAAAAAAAACCTTGTGTTAGATCACTGTGGAGACACATGGCCAAACATCCAGACTGTTAGAAATTGTGTTACATCTGCTGCTCTTGATTTGCGGTGGTGTTAAGAGCGAAAGGAGCTGGGAGTGGCCAGATTTTGAGGACTCCACAGACAGACTTAACTTACTGGGAATGGAAAAACAAAGCAACTATGCACACCCTCGTGACTCTGCCAGAGATAATTGGGTCACAGTGACTCTGTTACTCCCTGCAGTATACAGGATGCATCAGGAAGATGTTTTTGGAAATTCAGAAGTAGAACACTTGATTCCTGCACGTATTAAACGCGGGGATGGAGCAAATATGGCAGGAATGAAGCTGAAGTGGAGCAGACTTATTCATGCAAACATTGACTTAATGCTGATGTAAACTGCTGCTAAATTCCTGCACCGCTCCCATCGTTTGTCGGCTGGCAGAGAGCACAAGTCCAGTAACTCACTCAAGCAGATCGAGG